ACTTTTTAGTAAAAAAACTAGTTTTTTTTTTAATAAAAAAAAGAAAATTTTAATAAATAAATTTATAATTTACCATCATTTTTGTGTAAAAACTCTAAAATTATATTTAGAAATAAAAAAGTTTAGAACTTTTACCAATATTTTTAATATAAAAACTTAAATTTAGTTTATAAAAGAAAATTTTTTCTTAATAAAATTATTATAAAAAATTTTTAATAAATATTCATTTCATTAAAAAAACATTTTATTTAATAATTTTTTAAAACTGATTTTTTCTTTTAAAATTATAAAAAAAGACTATTTAAATAATCTTATTTAATAATTTATTAAATAAAAATATCAAAACAGTTTTCTAATAAAAAAAAATTATCTTCATATTAAAATTAATGTAACAATACTTTGTAATGTAATTTTAATAGCAAAACTTCAAGAAATTGGTATTTATCGTGCTATTTAAAGTATAATTCTTAAAGTATAATTATAATATTTTGAAAATTTTTCATTAGTCATAAATTGATAATTGAAATTAGAAAAATATGCCAATGGTGCAGTATATAAATAAAGCTAGGTAATAAAAATATGGAACAATATACAAATGATTCAGCAAAAAGGAATTTCCCTAGAGTATCACCAAAAAATTACTGGCACATGATCAATTTTATCGATCATACCTAAAAATAGTTAAATAAATTTTAACGAAAATTGATTTTTAAAATAAATCTTCACAAACTTTTTTCAGCTTTTAAATTATACCACCTATAAGAATTATTAATGCTCTAAATTTTGCTTAGAGATAAATAGGAGGTTTCAAACGCATTTTTTGACTTTTATATTATATTTTATATAAGATAAACTCCACTGAAAAATCAGTATTCATAATCACCATTTTCTTATTAAATAAACTTGTAAAGAAGGCAAAATCACATATAGGATTCAATTTTGGAATTCGTATAGTTTTCTAAGTTTTATTTAAAAAATAAATAAAGAAAATTTTCAAGCTTTTTAGAAATGATCAGCAGAAATTGATCACGTGCCGGTAATTTTTGGTGGTTACGCTGGGGAATCGCAAAAAGGTATACAATCACGTGCATAACAGACAAATGTAGTAATAAAATCGCATCGACTCAAACAAACAAGCGGGTGGACAGACTGACAATTTATTAAGTTGCATAGTATGATTTAATAGTCCTCCGCTTACGCTCCGGACTAAAAAAACTTCACTTCTGGATGGTTATTATTAGATAAGCTCATTTTAATCATTATAATTGTGTAATAAATTATTTTTATATAAATATTAATTTGTACTGACAAAGGATTTGCATTTAACTTTCAAATATGTAAGGTCGGCGCATCTTAATGCTGTGTAATATAAAATTCATTTATAAATTATAATGTTGCCAAAAAAAATTTTTTTTTCATGTAAAATTTTTATTATGGCTTGCAAAAAATATAATAAATTACTTAAATTATGTTTCATCATAATTATTCATTTGGACTTTAAAGTTGAGCCTTTTACTCCTGCTGGACGTAACGTTCATTCTTCTGTTCTTGTTGGAAATAAACTATATTTTTTTTGGTGGAAGAAATGAAGTAACCTGTACAAACGAAGTGTTTTACCTTGACGTATCACAACAATTTGATTCGAGGCTTCCGCCATGGATCGACATTACATTAAATTCAGGAATAAATTTTAATAGTTGTTGGGCGACTACTGTTGCAGTGAACGATAGTAATAATAACCCGACAATATACCTTATAGGAGGATATATGATTGATCAAAATAATAAAGATATTTTTACCTCATTAGTTCATATATTTAATCCAAAATCCGAGCAATGGAATACACCTGTAATTGAGGGAAAAAAGCCATTTAGACGAGCATTTCTTCAAGCTGTCGCTAATAATGCCGGAAATATTTATATGTTTGGTGGAGGTTCTTTAGAATTGGAAAATATTCTATTATTTAATGATATGATAATCTTAAATACTAATGATTTAACGTGGTCATATGGTTCTATTGCTAATGTTCCTTCAAAACGAATTGCATATACAGCAACATTATTACCAAGTGGTATCATTGTATATATTGGAGGCTGGGAACTAACTACTGATAAAATTGGGCGTGAAATAGATATTTACAAAATTGACTTTATGATACAAAATTTGACACCTGGTCAAAAATGGTAAGTGTAAAGTATTTATTATAGTTCATTTTGCTTAAAACAATTAATTTAAACATCAAAAAATATTTAAGCTAGCAGTGAGTTTTGGTCAAATTGAATCACGTTTCGGTCATTCAGCTGTATTAGGTATAGTTTTACTACCATTAATAATTTGTTTTGAAACATCAATAAAAAAAAATATTTTTTTTTTTAATCTTATATAGTTCAAGATGAAAAAATAATTATAATTGGTGGAACAAAAGGTGACAGTAATAATTTATTAAAGCCGTACCAGACTTGGCTATTTTGAATACTCAAACATATGAATGGACCATACCGCAGATATCATCTAATATTGATGAATTTCCATCACTTGTTCATCATTCAGCTCATTCAGTTGAAAATTATATTATTGTTGCTTTGGTAAATAATTCATATACGTAATATTTAACATTTTTATTTTGACTTATCTAATAAATAAATAAATGAATTATTGAATTATATAGGTTATCTAACACATCAAAATGGATTAACAGAAATTTCATTTTCAAGAAACGTTTACTTGTTAGATATTAGTAACTCTAATAATTTTATTTGGGTTGATAAATTTAAACCTAAAAGTTTATATGATCCTACATCTTCAAATACAAGTTCAACTAATTATGTTGTAATTGGTACATTGAGCGGAATTGTGGGTACCGCAATTTTAATGATAATTGGAATCCTTGGCTATAAATGTATCAAAAAAGAAAACAAATGATACTACTACTATGAAGCATAACGATATTTATAAATATTAAAATTTTTTATGATAATTTATTAAAATGTGCAATAAAGTATATTCAAATCAATTAAATAGATTAAGAAAAAGCTCATTACAGTACATTTACGAAAGAGTTAATTTTTTATTTTAATAATTGAAACATCGGAGTTATTTCTTTTTTTTAAAACAAAAATGCAATAATGTTTCAGAGGAAGAAATGTTTTGAGGGAATGATCTTGTGGTTTATTTTTTAAAAAAATTAAATTCGTTTTTTTTTGCTAAATTCGCTCTTTATGCTAAATCCGCTCTTAAATTAGAAGATTTAGAAATCATCTTTTAAGGCTTATTACAGAATGCCTAAGTGAGCCATAGCTTGAAATAGTTTTTTATCAAGAATATTTTGATAGCATAAATAAAAAGGAGGCTGATAATCAATTCACTCTTGCTTTTTTATTGCATAAAGCGTCAACAATTCGTCTGATTTAAGTATTTATTATTTTCTTTTCATAGGTTTTTCAAAAGTAAAATTCGCCTAAAATGAAATTTGTTTAACCATAAAAAAAAAAAACAAATTTACCTTTTTCGTGTTTTACCTTTTTGTTTTTAGAAAAAGAATCTCGTATAACAATGAGGGAACTATATTAATAAAAGAAAGTATAAATGAACTTTTCCTTCGTCATAGTATGATTTAAGTCAACATCATAAATCACACGATAATATCTTATTTTACGTTGATAAATAATCAAAATTATCCAACTAATCGTAATATGAATTGAACATTACGAATATTATTGTAGTTTGACGTTCTGCGTATTTAAATATCGAGAAATGCTTTCCGAGTTATAATCTTGAAAAATATCTACGTTCGATATTGCAACAATTATTTTTATTATTGCGCCATTGGTTTTATACCATAGACATCATAAAATTCACACCACCGATGCAATTTAGCTTAAACAGTTTATATTTTATGTGAAAGTATTGAATAGATTACAAATTATATTATTAAATAGATTATAATCGAAGTTATTTAATTATATAATTTTTTTTAAGCTGCAGAATAATAAAAAAATCGAAATCTTTTAATTTTTTATGCTGCATTTTTTTTTGGACATTTTTTTAGATCAAATATTTTAAAGGTCAATTATATTAATATTTATGAAAATTTCAAATTGAAAACAAAGGTTTTTTTTTCTTGAGTCTGGCTACTAATGTACTATGGTTTGAGTATATCCTTGCAGAGTACAGTCCGACGATCTTTTATGTCACTTTTTAGCTCAGTCATATTAATTTGGGTTCTGATCATCGGACCACGCTAGAGGCCTGCAACGGGCCGGCATATAATTAGTATAGAAATTTCCGGGCCGGGTTCAAGGTACCAGCCCGGATTTTTTATAATCAATTGCAATTTTGTATTTTTATTCATTATAATTAAAATAATAAAATTTGTTACTGCACTAAAAAAAAATTGAATACTTTGTTGTGTACAATTTTGCTTTAGCAAGAAAATCAGAAATAAAAAAAATAGTTTAATGAAACAATATTTTGATCATGGCAAAATAGTTATAATTTGGTGGTTGTGGTTAGGTAGTATTCCCATTTTCTCAAATCTGAAACATCTCGTAAATTTAGAAGCGATATACTGTATGAAGCATTAGTCGTTATCACACACATGATCAGAGGAAAAAGGTTACGATAGCTATTTTGGAGAATCTCATCAGTCCATTTGTAATTTTTAAAATTTTCTTGTTTAGCTTGATCAATTCTAAGGGGTATTACACAAACCTGTACAGTACGGTTAGCAATGTATGTATTGTACGGTTTTTTTTAAATGTATGTATGGTATGTATGCTTTAAAAACCATACACGTATAGATCATCATGTTACAAACCATACATGTATGAAATTTTCGACGATAAATTAATTTTATATTTTTTTCGTTAAACTTTTGATATAAAAAATATATAAAATAATTTTTATCACATTTTTAATTTATATTTTTAAGAAAAATGTATATTATTTATTTACTTTAATATTTATTGATTAATAAGAATTCATTTTATTTCTAATTATTTTCAAGCTCTACGTAATTTAATATTTTCTAATTCTAATTTTTCAATTTCAGCTTGAGCTCTACGATATACTAATTGCCTTTCAGCTAATTTCATCTTTCGTTCTTCAATGTCGATTTCTGAACAATAAGTTATTTTCTTGTTCATTGTCAGGTTCATTAATATTGATTCGAGTTTTTTTTGACTTTTGAACTATCTACAACAGCTTTTCTTTTTACATCTTTTTTATCGGATATTTCTTGATTAGTTAAATCCTGCATTATTTACAGGTCAAAATCTGTCCAACCGGTAAATCATACCGGTTGGAATATATTTGCAAATCTGAATCTTTATATGGCAAAATAAAAAGCAATCGGCATTAAGGAAAATGCCTATTAATATTTATTGTTAAATCACGGATTAAACGATTGTTAATTTTACTAAATCGTATAATGGAATGCTAATTTTAAAAGGTAATTTGTATAATTATTTGTTATTTCTATTTTTTAATTTTATCTGCGAAATGATGCCATCTTCTCTTAAAATACAATGGAACTCCGTTAAGTCACTTACGCAGTAAAACATCTGTAATGTGAAGGAAGTTTCACAAAAATTAGGAGTTTATGTGAGCGATATACCAGTATTCTGCGTAAAACTGGTAATATTTCTATAGAAAACTTATCTGGCTGACTGAGAAATCCAAAAAAAACGCCATTAATTGAAAATTTTTGTAGAACAATCATTTCACTATGGCTGGTGAAATTAAAGTAAAGTAGGAAGATAATGATCATGAACTTAAGATTAGTGAGCGTACTATACATAGTGAGCTCACGAATCTCATTTACGTTTCTGTTTTTACAAGAAAAATAATCATAATACACCTCTTGAGACATTCAGCATGACTTGAATAATACTCTTTCAGGGTGGATTCTTCCTAGACTTTTGTACAGCCCAAACCTGAATCATAATCCAGCAGCAATGGGATGATCTCGATAATGGTGTGTTACTTTGGTGCATTGAAAGCATGCCAAACTGGGTTCAAGCATGCATCGACGCAGGAGGAGGTCATACAAAATATTTATTATATAATAAAAAATGTTGAGTTAGTATTACTCTGTAAATAATAAAAAAAACAATTGCAATTAATAATAAAAATTTTACATACCTTCAAAAAATGTGTCCGCCGTTCTTTTCGCCAGGGACTGTACAATACATACATTGCTAACCGTACTGTACAGGTTTGCTATATTCCCAATTCTAAGGGATTAAATGTAACGAGTATAATTAGCGTTATACTCTTCTGATGATAATGATGATGTCATAGTGTTTTCCCGATCAAAATAAGGCCATTTCAAAAATTTAAGTGCTTATGTTGATCTTTTAGGAATAATTAATACTTCTTGTAGTAAGAAATCATTTTGTAATACAATCAAATGTTGCAAAATAGCGCCGTCACGCGATAACCAGTTACGATGATATTATTTGAACAAAATTCACTATTGACCAAAGGAATTTTACTTTTTTAATTTATCAAAAAAAAAGAATATCGAATCAAAAAATCTTGTTTCATGTTTCTCTATATCCGAATAATAATAAAAGTAATAATTTGAAATTGTTGAATTAATTATTCTGGTATTATAATTTAATCATATTAGTTTATTGATTAAAAAAAGAGTCTGCCGAAGCAGATGATTTTGATGGAATCGCAATCATAGATCCAAATAAAAAATTATAAAAAAAAAATACATGTTTTATTTTATAATATGTTAAATAAAATAAAATTATTTAATTGTTATCGCAAAGTCCGGGCCGGGCCGGGCTGGCATTTTAATTCTTGGCTTAAAGTCCGTACCGGGCCGGGCTTTAAAATTTGGACTTATGCAGGTCACCATATTATACAGGATTCCTATTTTGATTATTACGATTCAATAGTTTGGAATAAGAACTTTATCAATGTAGAACTACAGGACTATTTATACATAAAATTTCTTATCTAACTATATAGATAATCATATAAGAATAAAATATAATATATAAATTAAATATAGTAATTAAAACTTTCAAGTTAGATATATTTAAAATAGATATAAAAGATAAATATGATATATTTGAAATAGCGTACATATCTGACATTTCTGCTATTCGTCGCAGTTTCTACCAGTGATGGCAAGTGACCCAAATGACCTCAAATGACTCAAATGACTGGTCATGTGTCATTTGGGTCATTCCAACATTAAATGACAAATGACCTGGTCATTTAAAAATTATATCATGTGATCTCAATAATTCTGGCCAAAATAATTAATGTAATTTAATGATTCGAACGTTTTCATAAATATTTCATGTGATATAAATTTTAATTCTGGCCAGCATATAGAATTTGGCCTGTATCACATTTAAATGACCAAATGACAAATTACCTCAAATGACTAGGTCATTCGCTGGTCATTCAGAGGTCATTTCAAAATTATCAAATGACCTGGTCATTTGCCATCACTGGTCTCTACGTCCCTGCAATGTTGAGACCCTTATAATACCAGTAAACAGCAATTATTGTTACAGCTTATGACTTTCAATATTGCTTACCAACTTATTTGCGCCATTAAATATTTATTTGCATTATTCTTTCTAGAAAGAATCTTGTGGATGTAGTATTTTCGAGCATAAGTGAAGAACGTTCATTATTAATATGGTTAATTGCTTATTTTCTTTGTGTACTTCCTCTTATTTTCAAAAAAGTACTACATTTTAATACATATATACCGGAAATTATTCTGTTTTGCTTTTGATAGCAAAGGATTACAAATGTCATTAAAATAACAGCACCTAAACTTTTGCTTATTGCAACTATTGTATTTTTTTTTGTCCATAAGGAGAATCAGATGATGTTTCAATAAACTTGTGTTTAGGCGAAGGACTTTTTTGGTTCAAATTTATCACCCCAAATATAGTTACTGAGTTTTAGTCTAACAGTAAATTTGCTGACAAAGAAAGTTCTGCTAACCCATTTGAATGAGTGAGGCGACCTAAATTATTATAGAAATAATTTTTTATTAGATAAATCAGATAAATTTATGATCGTCTTTTACCCACCATTTATAATTATTTTCCATCTTGAAATTATAAATTAATAATATAATGTTAATTATGTGTCAAAACATATAACATGATAAAAAGCTATACTTAATACGGTTAAACGACCGTAACGGGATTCAATGTGCCAAATTCTCCTTGCTTGCTTAAATAAGTTTAATTTAGTTTAAATAAATATAATAAAACTTTATTCTTATCATTACTGATCTTATGTAAGGGCCGATTTTGTTAATTTCTACTGCACGTAGCATATTATCATTTGGTTTCAATTTGAAGATAATGTGCCGTATATGTATTTCCTTTTAAAGGAGATCCGTAACGTAATATCTAAATAGAAACCTCCCATATATGAAGAAATTTTGACAGATTTTTTTTTTATTATTTTATAAAATGTATTTAGAAGTAAAGTAGAGAAGAGATTTGTGATATATTTTAAAAAGTAAACTTTTTTTTATTTTTTATTTTTTTTTTTTTTTGAAAATAAATTAAATGAATGTTTCACAAAAAGAAGACCTAAATTTCGCTCTTTTATTAGAAGTTTAGAATAACTTCTCTAATAACCTATTATAGGATGCTGTAATAGTTGATTTGAATATATGTATTAGATTTTTATCTGAAATTTTATTTTTATAAATTTATACATTGAACGATGCAATTTTCGTATGCTTTAATTCTTTAAATTTTGTTTTGTAAAATTTCTGATTTTTTAATCCTTTAAAGATTTCCGTATGATTTTTTTTTGTGTAATCAAATTAAAACTTGAAATTTCAAATATGAACAATATAAAGTTAAACATCTATTTTTCATAAGGATCATAGCACATTTGCCAGAAATAATAGCAGTTCAACATTTTATTAATGATCTATTTCAAAACAGACCATCAAAGTATCATACCTTTTTTTTTACTTAAAAAAAATTAAAAAGTAAAGCAAGAATAATATTCACAGCAAAAGTAATTTTGCATTAAAGTCGAAATCTTCGATTTTCAAGAATTTGGCTTGCCCTGCGAATTAGTAAGCCATAAATGATTCAATAAGCATTCAAATCTTATTATATCATTAAAAATTAAAAGTTAAATAATTTGGATACAAATAAAAAAAGGTGATACCGCTTTAAATAGTTTCAAAAATGTCGTAAAACTTTTTTTTTAATATTTATTCTTTTTTCATATACTTCAAATTTCATAATATTTACAGTAGCTATTTATAGCAATATTTTGTTGACATACTATTATTTAGAAAGAATCGATGGTATGCAATAAAAAAAGATCAACATCGTTAATTAGTAGTATTAGTAAATCGGTTGCGTCGCTTCATTGACCCCATATAGTAATTTCAGACAATAACCAATTCATTGAGATTCCATTTTCCTAACCGTTATCAAAAAAAAAGATCCGGTATTAGTGCATTTCAAGCCCGTATTTTCGTGACACCTCGACATTATTATTACATTAGTTTGTTTTTAATATCTTGTTGATTTCAAATGATTGTCCAAGAATATTAGATCTGATGATAACCTTCGAATAAACACTTTTTATACCAAAGATGTGATTGATAAGCCAAGATCATTATCAAAGAAATAGAGAAGTTGAAAGATGGAAAAAATTTGGACACATCCCTGTTTAGATTAATGTAGTTCCATCATTTCGTTCATCTAAATCCTTATTAACTTTAGGAAATCGGAACCCGTTACATCAGTCGCGTATTCAAATATATGAGTATAGATATTTTTTATTTATTGTTTTGTATATATTTACAAAAAAAATGAACTGGCGGTGATGCCAGTGGAAGGTCTATTAGATAATCAATTATGTGCAACTCAATAAACAGTATTATTAATTGTCTCGTTAAGACAAGAAACTAAGAAAATTACACGATTACGAAACTTTATCAAGTTGCTATTAAGCTATTAAAATCAAACCAAAAAGAGATTATTGATATTCTCGTTTTTTGTGTAACATCAATCAAAAATTTTAAATTAGATTTAGAAATGAGAAAATTATTAACAGTTAAAACAGTCTCAGACTCTTACCCAATATATTTAATACAAAAACTATATTAATTGTATGGAAGGTCTGGGGTGAGAAAACATTTTTTTTTATTGAAAAATAAAATAAATTTCTTTTTTTTTAGAAAATAAATAATTTTTAGTTTATTAAAAGAAAAAATTATTTTTTTTTATTAAAAAT